CCAATTTTCAATGAAATGATTGCGATTGGGATTTGTCAAAGCCGGCAGATATCCCAGGATACAACAACTATAATCTCTTCGTATCCTCACACATAACCAATCGAAACAAACTGGCTCAAACTCGCTATAATCGCCAATTTAAGAGCACCATGCAAACCCTAAGAGAACCGAAACCCGCACTTGTCTTAAGCCGAATTGTCTCATTGCTGTCGAAAGCTTTTGCGTTACACTCTCGCGGAATGTGCCATTGATAGAAACACTCAAAAAAATATACAAGACGATTTAATATCGCTGAACAACAGCCAGCTACTCACCCCCACCAAAATCTATCCAGAATGTGTGTCTAAACCGAATCAAAAACGATCACACCTCAACTCAACTTCAACTCAATCAGATCAAAAACAGTCAACAGATCAAATTGATCAGTCAACAGATCAGCTAACAGATCAAAAAACTTGCCATAGCTAAGCAATAAATGCGGACCTTCAGTTGGAACGAAACCGCGTTGCCACATTCCCTCGAACTTCTTCAGTTTGTCCTGTAACGTGTTCAACCAGACACGATCCCTCTCGGACCACTCTCTCTTGACGCGATCGTATCCATCCGACAGGCGATCACGTATCTCGTTCGGATCAATCTTCAGCCACTCAGGCATTTCGATCGCCGGCAGAGAATCCTTCCAGTTTTCATAGCGCTGTAATCTCCACCAAATCTCATCAACATCCTCAACATCGCTAAATTTCTCAGACAAAGTCTCTCAAACTCCCAAATAAAAGTCAGTTGGGCTGTTTACCAGTCTCAAATCTCAACAATTTCCGAATCTTTCTGGTGTATTCTCGTGATCAGTCAATCTGCCTAAAGATATTTCGTCTAACGACAGTTTGCCTAAAGAGTGTTGGTTGTGTCGTCGAGAATTATTGGGTTGTTGCATAAATTCGTGCGCTTTTATACAAATTGAATTATTCCGTCAAAAGTCCACTTTTCCGGAGCAGTGTCATACACCAGTCGATAGCGGGTTTTCTGCTCTTCGGAACTGTGTTAGACGGCCTACTGCGGTTTTGTTTCGTCCGGATCTTCAGCGCGATGAAATGAAGTGTCAGGCGGACGATAAAACGGATTTTCGACAGGTGCTATTTTGTGCATTCAATTGGGGCTCAACGGTGGCTTGTGACATTTGTGCCGTATACGGAGATGATACAATGCCGGTGAGAACAGCCCGGAAATGGTTTGCGAGGTTCGCGAAGGGCGACTTCGACGTGGAGGGCGGGCGACGTTCGGGTTGGACGTTGGATCTCGACGAGGGGCGTGTGAATGTTCTCATCCGTCAGAATCCGCATCGAACTGCTTCAGAACGACGAAGCAGTCAACGCTGCACTGTACAGCGAGCAACTGAACCCACTCAACCGCCCTATTCAGGACAAACGCCCGATATCGTGAACAAGATCATCCTGCAGCATGACAACGCACGCCCCTACACGCAAAACTGACCAGAAAAACGATCAAGGATCTTGGATGGGAAATTCAGGTTCATCCACCTTATTCGCCAGACATCGCTCCATCTGACTACCACCTCTTCCGCTCCCTCTCGAAAAGCCTCAGCGGTGTAGCCTTCGACAACGATCATGCCCTCAAAACGTGGCTATATGACTTCTTCGCCTCGAAGCCAGCGGAATTCTACCGTTGTGGAATCGACAACCTGGTGGAACGATGGCAGGAAGTCTTGGAAACCGAAGGAGAATACATTGTCGATTGACTGGTTAGCATTTGTGATTTGGAAACGAAGTTTTAGAAAACTTTGATGAAGCGCACGAACTTATGCAACAACCCAATAAGTTGACGCTGATGGATGATGAAGAAGAGACGAGACGACGACCAAATCCTTTACTTAGGATCAAGACAAGACACACCAAGACCAAGACAATGAAATCTCTCTCTTGTACAGAGTTTTTTTGGATGTAAATTCCTAACAATAAGAAGACAACTCATATGCAAGTAAGCAGATCACGTATGCTAATTAGATCATTATACGACACCTCCGCCTTGAGTTGATGAGTCTTCGTTGATTTCTTCCTTGGATTGATGATCAAACGTTGTGGATGGCTGTGAATCCGAGTGAAACCTCGGACTGGTACGACTGGCGATGTTGTTGTGGAGAAGGGTCAGGTGTTGGGACTGGTTTGGCATGGAATGTGTCAAGCAGCAAATTCAATGTCTCATTTCCTGACACGGGAAACAAGTCACCAACTTAATCTGACGTCTCGTGATGAGATATACATTGAATTGTAGAGCTCCTCGAGCTGATCATGAATAAATTTAAAAATTTTGCGAAACACCTCAGGGAGAAGAGATATAGCGTCGAAAAGTATATTGAAAACTGTAGCGTATTGAAGTAACCTTCTCAACTTCACCCGGCAGCATCGGCTCGGCCTAGTGGATAGTGCGCTAGCACTAAGTCCGGATACTCGGTGGTTCTGCGCCGCCTACGGACGAAACTTTTTTCTCATACATTTCTAACATATTCAAACAACCGTGATATTACGCAATCTTCCCCAAAACTTTTTTCCTAATTATGGTAAAATTTTTAAAAAATTTTTTAAAATTTTGAGATTTCGTTTGATTGTCTTTATCTGATCATGATGACCATGTCTATTCGCAACAGATGGATCGAAATCTAGATGAAATTTACATGAGAACATTTCATAAATAATAACTGCGAGTAGTGTCCACTGTCAGATTCTCTTTCCAGCTNAGATGAAATTTACATGACAACATTTCATAAATAATAACTGCGAGCAGTGTCCACTGTCAGATTCTCTTTCCAGCTATTGATTTGCGAGTCTCCTCCAAATAAATATTTGCGCCAACCTGAACATCATATAAAATTCTGCCTCATCTTCTCTTGAGGACTATTCCCCTCTTCCCCTATTCTCTTTGCTGACCGCGATTACTTCAATAACTTCGAGATCAAGACAAGACACACCAAGACCAAGACAATGAAATTTCTCACTTATACAGAGTTTTTCATGGCAAATTCCTCAAAATAAGAAGACAACTCATATACAAGTAAGCAGATCACGTATGTTAATTGCTAATTAGATGCTAATTAGATCATTATGCTAATTAGATCATTATACAACAAAGACACACATTGCCTAACGACAGTTTGCCTAAGGTGTAGCGAATAGCAGCGGGTAGATTGATTGACGAACGGGAGGGGAGATAGGCATCTAGTGGTGATTTGTGTGAGAAGCACTATTTACTACGAACAATTTACTTCGATTCACACACACAGCAAATAATCCACAGCAAACGAACAAGACGAAATTGAGTGATTGAGTCGACGGATAACGGCAGATTGATCTCGAAACGAAGCTAAGGAATTCAGCCAATGATCAGCAGCAATGACGATTGATTGATTGGTTTAGACGAGCGAGAGAACGAATAAAAAGGATGATATCGAATGAGAGCATCATCCTTTTATGCGAAAATTAGCCTAATGAATAAATCTCGTGAATATAGCAAGAGCACGTGCATAGCGTGATAGAAATTTAATGGAAATTATTTAACCTAGTCATGGAGAAGATGACGGTTAAGAGGCGTTCGGATAATACAGATGGAAGGTAATCTTGCATTTAAGGTCAGTAAAATCAAAACAGCATTTCGTTCGTTCACATTCGCAGTTGGTAAGCCTAAGCCTAAGCCTGAGCCTAAGCCTAAGCCTGAGCCTAAGCCTAAGCCTAACTACACCACACACTTAACTGCAAATGTGAACGAACGAAATGCTGTTTTGATTTTACTGACCTTAAATGCAAGATTACCCAGATGGAAGCTTATTCATAAAATGCTTGAATTACTTAATACAAAAATTCTAATAAATAGATAAAGCGATTACATTATTTGATACAAATTTTACAATAAACTTTTGAAAGAGACAGAACATCAGGCGATAGCTTATTCATTAAGAAATCAATGAAATCATCTCTATCGTGAATCATATCACTCACGACATAAGGAACAGTCTGGCTATCAGGTGAAATATCCATTGAAGACCGTAAGTCACGCAAACTGCCCGTTAGGCGAGCGCTATCTTTAGGCAGACTGACCAGATACTGTATATTCTACGACATTTAAACAACTGTGACAGTAGTAGTACTCAAAAAGAAACGAATTTTAACAATAACAATAAATAAGTAATTAATTAGTGATAACACTAGCAATAAGGCTAATCATAACGCTATCAATAGCAATAATAACGAAAATAATGAAAAAGTCACATTATTAAGGGCAATACCCGTGCCGAACACACCCGTCATAAGCCAATATCTCAATTTGAGTGCATGCCTCAAGAAGGCACTTGCGAACTGACGTTTGCTATTGAAACCTCCACTACCATAATTTACTTTTTTCGGATTTAGAAGTAATCTGAAAATTAGAAAATTAGAAAATATTTTTTAAAAATTGAAAACTTCGATAGCTACATATAAACCTGAGAAACTTGAGAAATATGACTTGGCTGCATAAATCACTTTATAAGCAGTATCTGCTTTATCCGAATCAAATTGGTCGATATAAAATCCGAAGGGGATGAAGAGACTAACCTGGTGTTTCGACGTGGACCTGAGATCACAGAAAAATGACGGTGGCAGAGCGAGAGGGTGCTACGAAACTCCCGCAGTAGGTTTCGATTATGATTAGCTCTCAGCTGCTGCATTACTATCACAGCCGTTTGGCGATTGTTTTGTAAAAGGGCAATGCGTTGTTGGACTGATGAAATACGGTGGTTCATTCCACGCTTTTTTTTGCAGTTTTATCACGTTTAAGAAAAATCAGATCAGATCATTTAAATCAGATCAATCGTTCAAAACTTTTTCACCCGCATCGATTGCTGCATCTGAAAATGGAACGGCTTTGAGGAGAAGATCGAGAAAAATCCAAAAAAATTTCTACTTCTACAACACCGAAAGCGGCCGGGCGGCAGTATTTGACATAGTTCGATAGTGAGACTTCAAAAAATGAGACATGTGATAAGCAAGCACACGGTGTATCGAGACTGCAGAAACAATCCTGCGGATGCAATTTAGATCGTGCGCAATAGACTCTCAAAATTTTTTCAAACGGTGGAATTTTAAGCAACTGCCTTAACAGACTGAAAAGATGGAGGACATTCTCAGTCTTTACGCATTGTTAACTCGAATTTGAGCACAATTTTAATCTAAACAAATTGAATTTTACCACATGCAGGTGCTGCTGCATTCACGTCTCATTACAAAACTCAAACCTGATTTTCTCTAGAGGACCTAGAAAAAATTCTAACAGTAAACTTTGAAACGAAATGGTTGGTGACTCCGGAGCCTTACGGAGGGAGCTTAAGACGGCTCCAATCTGGATTGAGGCTAAATAATATGCTTATATATAAAAGCTGGCATGAGAATAAACTCGGAGAAGACGAAAGTAATTCGGTTCGTTCAGGTTCGCAGTTGAATTTGGAGTGTAGTTAGAGCACA